CATTGTTGGTGGGGGTATAAACTAGTTCAGCCACTTTGGAAAGTGGTATGGAGGTTCCTCAAAAGACTACATATAGGGCTCCCTTATGACCCAACAATCCCACTTTTGGGCATTTACCCAAATGATTACAAACAAGACTACACTAAAGCTATCAGCACGACTATGTTTATTGTAGCATTATTTACCATAGCTAAGATATGGAACCAACCCAGATGCCTCTCAGTAGATGAATGGATCAAGAAAATGTAGTATATATACACAATGGAATTCTATGCCTCCATCAGAGAGACTCTTATCTCCAATTAACCACAAGAAAACCAGAAATAGATCTGTCTTGAAGTGGTAGAGTGCTAGCCTTGAGCAAAAGAAGCTCAGGGATAGTGACCAGGCCCTCAGTTCATACCTCCTCCTTCCGACATGACATCCTTCATCTTCTTCCTCAGCCTAGATCTCCTCCAATGATTGGGTGAGGGGTGCTTATCCAGTGGGCGAGGCCCCATGTTTAACCTGGCTGAGCAGGGAAGGTACAGGATTAGACTTGGGGAGACAGCTCAGTTTTTCAGCCTGGGTTCAGAGAAAGAGACCTCTTGAGAAATGTCACAGCCCCCTTGTCAGGCAAATTTGTCATCTTAAAAGTGTCCTCTTCCAGATCTGCAGTCTTAAGAAGACTAATGTGATCTCTGTACTTTCCTGGTCTCAACCAAAGGTAGACAAGACAAGTTAGAGACCAAAATATTCTCATAAGCAGTTAGCCAACTAATATTTTTGGATTTGGTTTTTAGTTTTGTGCCAGTCCTGGGGCTTGAACTCAGGGCCTGGGCACTGTCCCTTAGATTTTTCATTCAAGGACAGTGCTCTACCACTTGAGCCACCGTTCCACTTCGAACTTTTTTGCTGGCTAGTTGGAAATAAGAGTTGCATGCACTGTTTTGTCTGAGATAACTTCAGGATCCTCAGATCTTAGCAAACTGAGGAGCTAGGATTATAGGCCTGAGCTACCAGTATCCAGCTGCCAACTAGTTTTGAGTGACTCAAAAAAGGGTCTGATTTTTCTTTTTCTTGCTTCACATTAGCATAGAATTTTTGTTTTCAAAAGCCCTGCATTTCCTATTACCTATATACTATTCCATTGATAGATGTAAATATTTAATTAGTTTTGGATATTTGTTATGGGAAAAGATATATGTTTATACACAGATATAACTGCATATATATTTACAACTGTTTTTGTTTTGGTACAAGATAGAAGCAATTTCCATCTACTATAGAGAAAACCATGGAGCAAGTCTCCCTGAGCCAGCATTGTTTCTAGGTATCATTTGTTATTTCAGCATTGTCTCTCCTGTCTGTCTGTCTTTACATGTGGTCCCTGTGGTCAAGGTCATCCTGGGCCAGGGGTTACAGTAGCAGTCCAAAATCTGTAGACCTAGCACACTGAAAGGCACCAGGCAGCTTGCATACCAGTGGTCAGCAGCTGGTTCCGGTGTTTCTGCTCAGGCTGGCTTGCTTCAACCCTTACACCTTCCCCACCACCTCCCATCACTGTGCCCCCTGGAAAGCCAACTTCAGGAAGCCCAGGAGCTCTAAATCTAAATCTGAGAAGAATGTGATCTGAGATGATTCTGTGGCAGAAAGAATAGAAAGGTCCATGCATAAAATACTGGATGATTTCTTTCACTGTGGTACTTTCTTGCAATCTCTGCCTGGGAGGATTGACTAGCAGAAGTGTCTGCTTTGTCAGAGCAGAAGTGTGTTCTAGCCAGGTGACCTTTGATACCTGTGGTATGTGTGAGAATATTCTGGCCTCTTGGCTGGAATGTACATTACTAGCTGAAAGACATGTGTTACTTCTGGTGTTGGTCATGGTGGCCAGACTTGGCATAGTCTTAGATATATCAGGAGCTCTGGATTTCTCTCTTCCCATGCTCTTCTCATCACCTTCACCTCTTCCTCATTCCAGTACCAGGAGCCCTAGGTGACTGCCAGAAGAAAGGGAGATGACCTTGAAGTAATAAAGATGGAAGTCAATGAACGGATCCAAACATCAATCAGAAGTCACCAGTCTCAAGAAACAGGTAAAAGCTGGACCTCGGTGGCTCATGCCCTAATCCTAACTACACCGGTGGCTGCGATCTGAGGATCGTGGTTCAAGGCCAACCCAGACAGAAAAAAAAATCCACGAGATTCTTATCTCTAATGAACAACCCCAAAAGCTAGAAGTGAAGCTGTGGTAAAAAAAGCTCAAGGGCAAGTAACTCAGGCCCTGAGTTCAAGCTCCTGTACTAGCACAAGAAAAGAAAAGAAAAAGAAAAACAGTGGGGCAGAAGTCACAGTGTGGAGGTAAAGGTAAGTAGCTAGCACCTGTCTAGCTAGCCTGGCTAGCACCAGGGACTTATTTGGGCATAAAGCAGGAGTTGGGCAGCCAAAGGGCTGGACTAAGACTCCAGGTGGACTTCTCTTCAGTGAAGCTAGCTGACCATGAGAACTGTCTCCATCTACCCTGGGGAGCCAGGTCCTGGGATGTTCTCCCTAACCACATGAAAGCAGCTTAGCTATGGTCCCCAGAGCAGCCTATCTGATGCCAGTATGGTTGGTGAGATTTCCCACAGATGATGCTGTCAATTAAAGGTCTCCTTACAGCACCCTCATAATCCCAGCCCCCTCATCACCACCCCCCTCCTCCGGGAAGGACAACTGGGGCTGTGACAAACTTCCCAGCCCAGATCTTTCTGAAGATACTGTGACTCGGCTAATGACCCTGTATTAATTAGATAAGACATCAATTACATGAGCAAAGACTGCCAAGCCAGCACTTTGGGGGTTTTCAAGTTATTTACCCAGTGTCTCTGATTTTGCTGGGGAGAAAATAATTTCTTGCTCCCAGGCAAACTAAACGTACAAATTAGAGCAGTGGCTCTTTTCTGAACCATATAAAGGACAAGACCCAAATCATAGGCCAGTGAGCTGCTTCACAGCTAAGGGTTAGCATCAGAGCGGAGTTCTCTGGCCTGCTCAGCATGAGCCGCCAATTCACCTGCAAGTCTGGAGCTGCAGCCAACCGGGGCTTCAGCGGCTGCTCTGCGGTGCTCTCTGGAGGCAGCTCAGCCTCGTACAGGGCAGGAGGCAAAGGGTTCGGAGGGGGCTTCAGCAGTCGGAGCCTCTACAGCCTGGGGGGTGCCCGGAACACCTCTTTCAATGGCCCCAGCAGCAGTGGCCGGGCAGGGGGCTATGGGTTTTGCCGGAATCGGGCCAGTGGCTTTGCTGGTAGTATGTTTGGCAGTGTGGCCATGGGGTCCTCGAGTCCATCCATGTGTCTACCTGGAGGTATCCACCAGGTGACCATCAACAAGAGTCTCCTGGCCCCCCTCAATGTGGAGCTGGACCCTGAGATCCAGAAAGTTCGGGCCCAGGAGCGGGAGCAGATCAAAGTGCTGAACAACAAGTTTGCTTCCTTCATTGACAAGGTGGGTATAGGGACAGCCATCCCCCCCACCCCGCATGTCTCCTTATCTGGAACAGAGGAAAGGGGGGCACCTTCCAGGAGGGACACTGTGGGAACCCTAATGCTCCAGTGAGGCCTGAGACTGGCTGCAAGGGATTTGAGAGTATGCTTGAAGTTGGAATGACATCAGTGGGAAACCCTGGTGGTATGGGTTTTTATCCTGTGTCTAAATGAATACACAGGTGTCTGAGTATTTGAGCGTTTGCAGTATTCCTGTCAAAAGACAGAAGTTCCTGTATGTACTTACCTTAGTGAGAAAATTTCTAGACCCCTTCCAAAACCTCTTAAGTGTTTCTTGGATTTTTTTTTGCCACTTACCCCTTGGAATGTGCTCTTTTGTCCATTTTCTTGTAACTATTTTGTTTGCCCTGGGCTACCTTGAACTTATGAAGTGGAGACTGGGGAAGTCATCTTCAGTTTAACCGTGTCTGTCCGTTAAGCTCATTTCTTGCCTCATGGTAGTAAAATGATATTAATATTAATCACGAGCATTTCTTTATCTGTCACCCTGGAATCTGCTGGTTGGAACCAGCAGGACACTTTCTGACAATGTCCTGCATCACAGAGTTGAGGGGTGGGGGTAGAAGGATACAAGGAACTAGAAAGTTTCATCTGGGAAGGAGGATGAAGAGTAGGCAGTTTCAGCTCATGAGACTTTGAAGCCAGGCAGAGGAGGGGCCAGAGGCAGACAGGGACCTCTAGAACTCTAGGAGCCCAGGAGTGTGTGTTTTGATAAGTTCTTTAGGTAATGCTTGTGCACGATCAAGTTTGGAAACTATTGGAGACTGACTGGTTCCTACCAGTCTTAGGAAATAAAAACTTCCTGGGCTTAGGAAGTCAGTAAGGTGGGTGGTGAAGTATGAATAGTTTTCCAGACTGAAGTGGGCCATAGCAATCCCTTAGGAGAGGGAACACATGCAGGATGATAGGTCTTATCTGGGGATGGGTGCTTTCAAGCAAATGGAGAGAGGCTAGGCTGCCAGCTCTGAGCAGAGGGGCCCAAGAACAGGAAGGTCAGCACGCTTGTGTGTACCAGGACTTGTCTTCAAGAGGCAGCCCAAGCTGAATACACACATTGGGCCTGGCAGGTGTGGTGTAGACAGGGAGGAAGCAAGTGTCTAGGTCTTGACAAACAGAGGAAAATGAAGATGCTGGAGCCCATCTTGATCTCAGAGGCTGCCTCCTAGCCAAGCACCTCTATTGAACAAAGGGTTCTAGGTTGGAAGGTGGCTTGCAAGGGTGGGAAATCCTCTTCTGCCAAGAGCCAATTGGATATTTATAATATTATGGTGTGGCTCATACAAGATTATGGACCTAGGCAGAGGCCTAAAAGCAGCCTAAGGGAAGCATTGCATGTCTGTCTTGTCATACACTAAATGACTTTGTAGGTCTCATACAGCCTGCGGGCTGGTCATCCTCTACTTGTGTCAAATAGAACAGAAGGAAACCTCCTATCTTTCTTTTCTTCTCCTTTTTCTTTTGAAACCATTGACTGGGGGTGATTTCTAGGCGGACTGTTAATTTGGGTTCCAGGTGCGCTTCCTGGAGCAGCAGAACCAGGTGCTGGAGACCAAGTGGGAGCTGCTGCAGCAGCTGGACCTGAACAACTGCAGGAAGAGTCTGGAGCCCATTTATGAGGGCCACATCAGCAGCCTGCGGAAGCAGCTGGAGACCCTGTCCGGGGACCGGGTGAGGTTGGACTCGGAGCTGAGGAGCATGAGGGACGTGGTGGAGGACTACAAGAAGAGGTTAGTAGGGTCCTGGTGCCCAGACTAATTACCTCTGGGGCTGTGCTTTCCCAGCAGGCACTGAGACAGCTGCCTCTGAATTCGAGGAGAGCAACCCGGTGGCTAGACAGTGGACAAAGCCTCTCAGGCTCTGCCAATTCCCAGCTTGGCATGCTTCCCCTTCTTCTCCCTACTAGAGAATCCCTGTGTGTGTATATCCCAGATTTCTGGTTCCTATGCTCACCTAATTTCAAGGAGACCCTGAGCAGGGCAGAAGGTGTTGGGTTCTCTGAGGTCCTGCACATTTGAGACATGCCCCTTCTTCTATAGTTCTTTGTGGCTCCTGCCTTGGGGATGATAGGGAGTCATTGGTAAGGGTATCAGGCATCCAGACTTCCCAAGAAGCATGGATAAGGGGGGGTGTGGGCTGGCATGTTCCTGCTTTAGATGCTGAAAGGGAGAAGAAGAACCAACTTAGTCTCCAGACATCAGAGAAAATTCAGATCCACTTGTCATTAGCTGTGGACTGGGACCCTAGCCACAACTTGGCTAAGTAGTCTTAGTCAGTTTGGAGAGTTGCCAAGATGTAGAACAATATCCATTAAAAATATGTATTATGGGGAGACAAGCACTGGTGGCTCATGCCTATAATCCTAGCTACTCAGGAGGCTGAGATCTGAGGAGTGTGTGGTTTGAAGCCAGCCCAGGCAGGAAAGTCTGCGAGACTCTTACCTCCCATTAACCACAAAAAAGCTGGAGGTGGAGGTGTGGCTCAAATGGAAGAGCGTTAGCCTTGAGCACAGAAGCTCAGGGACAGTGTATAGGCCTTGAATTCAAGCCCTGAGACCAGCATGCTCATGCTCGCCCCCCCCCCGCCCCTGCCCCTGCCCCTGATCTTCTCACTGGTGCTTTTCCCACAGGTATGAAGAGGAAATAAACAAGCGTACAACTGCAGAGAATGACTTTGTGGTGCTTAAGAAGGTGAGGTGGGGCTGGGAAGGTGGCTCAGTGGTAGAGTGCTTGCCTTGCATGTGTGAGGCCCTGGGTTCGATTCCTCAGCACCACAGAAAAAGCCAGAAGTGGCACTGTGGCTCAAGTGGTAGAGTGCTAGCCTTGAGCTGTAGAACTGAGGGACAGCGCTCAGGACAGAGTTCAAGTCCCAAGACGGACCTAAAAAAAAAAAGAAGGTGAGGTGGGTTTCTGGCCTTGGGTCCCCAAGGGTGGGTACAGAGTAAGAGCAGAGGAGGGATTCAGGCCTGTCTTCCTCACGGAAGGGACTGGAGTAGGAGACGGAGATTTGCTGCCTGGGACATCTTGGACACTTGATGACTGACCAGTGCCAATCTCTCCATCAGTTTCTAACTTTTGTGTAAATGGAAACAGGACTCCAGCTGAGCTGTCAGTCTCCAGCTCCTGTCCTTGTGCCGAAGCACAGGATGCTCTCTGAGAGGGTAGGGATGTTCCTTCTACTCATTACTGGTAAATTGCTGTGGCTGTCATTGGCTCACTGACTGCTCAGTGACCCTTCACGTGGAGGAGCTGGCTCCTGTGCTAGGACTTTGGGAAAGAGACAGAAGGCCCAAGGATTTTGTTCAAGGTCTTGAGGTGAGTCCTAGCTGAAAGTTATGTTCCTGCTAGCCAGTCTTTATTCTCTGAGGCAGTTAGATGCAGAGAGCTGGGATGTCATTGGGGAAGAGGCTTATCAGGGCTTAAAGAAAGATGGTGTCAGGTGCCTCTGGTTCTCCTTAGGATGTGGATGCAGCTTACATGAGCAAGGTGGAGCTTCAGGCCAAGGTGGATGCTTTGGATGGAGAAATCAAGTTCTTCAAGTGCCTGTATGAGGGGGTAAGGCTGCCCTGCACGCTTCTGGCTCTGTCTTCCGTAAGGACAGATGTGAGATGAGTGGTCAGTTACCTTTCAGGAAGCTTAAGAGCTCAGGATCTCCAGCGTTTGGGGGCTTTGTGGATCAAAGACAGAAGTGCTCATCTATCCCGGTGTTTACCAGTTCCTGTGTGACCTCTGATGTCCTGCTGTCACAACTTCCAGGACACCATGGTCCTTCAGGGAATCTCACTAACTTCAGCCAAGCATATTCTCATTCCTGATCATCTTTTTGTCCTGCAGTTTGAGGTGTTTCTTGGGGTATTGGGCAAGAATCCCCAAGGGGATGGGGACTCTTATTTTTTGTAGTTCATTTTTCTTTTTCCTTCCTTCCTTCCTTCCTTCCTTCCTTCCTTCCTTCCTTCCTTCCTTCCTTCCTTCCTTCCTTCCTTC